CCTGGGTTGTGGGCTTGATCCCGGTTTGGGGCGTGCAAGAGGCAGCTGATCAATGATTCTCTTTCATCATTGATGTTTCTCTCTTTCTTCCTCTCTGAAATGAATAAAAATATATTTAAAAATAAAATAAGAGTTACCGGATGACACAGCAATTCCATTCATAGGTATGTGTGTGTATGTATGTGTATATATATATATATATATATATATATATATATATATATGAAAACATGTCCACACAAACTTGGATGTAAATGTTCACAGCTGTTTTATTCATAATAGCCAGAAAGTGCAAGCTGCCCAAATGTCCAACTGATGAATGAACAGAATGTGGATGTCTATACAAACGAGTATTATTCAGCATTAAAAATAAATGCAGTTAGACACACAAGAGCACAGCAAGGACGATGGGCCAGGTACAGGTCATCAGGGTGGCAAGCCCCAGATGCAAAGCAATGGACAATCAATTGTAGAGTGGGACCTCACCCCAGGGTCATGAGGTTTGGACCCCCTGACCTTCCTTCCCTAGAGATAACATCTATGCCTCAAGTTGTGTTTCAACTCCAGGCCCAGATAAGCAATAAAACCAGCCAAGGCTGACATCAGGACCAGCTGCATTGAATAATGACCCCTAGCAGGGTGCCGGCTAATTCATCAGTGGAGACTACGGCCCTGAATGGCCACACCTGGAAAGCTACTGAATATTCTATTAAGATCTGTCCCGGGGACCTCCCCTAAACTCTGCCCTTAAAACACTTAGAATGGAGAGCATGCAGTTCCTTTCCCTTTCCCTTCCCCCACCCCTCAGGGCTCGTTACCATTAGCTTCCTCACTCCCAAGCTCCAAGGGACCCCCTTCCTTCACCTCCATAATTCATTTCCTAAACCCATTTCTTCCAGGAATTACTTTTTCTACCTCTGTAATTTACCCAATAAATGTTCTCTTACAAAAAAAAAAAAAGTAGCACCATGGCTTAACCTTGAACAAATTATCCTTTAACACTGGAATAGTGATGATGGTTGCATATTGCAAATGTACTAAATACCACTGAGTTGCACACTGTAAAATAGTGAGCTTTATGGTGATGTTGTATCTTTAAAAAAAGGAGAAAACTGCATCAAATAGGGTTATGATCGATTAAAATTCTTTAGATATCTAAACTAAAATTTGCATTACCAGAATGAATACATGTCATGTTAGCTAACAAAGGAACCTCTCTTTGTGCAATCATTGCTTTGTATGTTTTAACTAACATACAAAAACTCTGGGGTAGGTCCCACCATTACTCCCCATAGAGGAAATGGCAGCACTTTACAGCCGTCGCCAACTGGTGGTCCGTGAGATCGGAAGGTTGGAGACCGCTGCTTTAGGGGTCGAGTAACTTGACCACGCTGACACAGAAAACTATGGTAGAAATCCTGTCCTACCGACTCTGAGGGAAGCAATCATCACATCTTTTCATTTTCTTTACCTCAAATCCCGTTGGCACTGGCAAACAGAGGTAACGATTAAATATTTTTTCACCCATTCATCAGGTATTTGTACTTCTATGTCCCAGGTGCTGGGGACACAGTAAAAAACAAAAGCAAGTTCCTAGGAACCAAAAATATATCTCAGGTAATAACAGTAATTGCTGTACATGAAATAAAGGAGGTAAGGAAGCCTGTTTAAGGAAAGACAGGAAAACAAGCCAGGAGATTGGCAGGTGGCGCCTTTTAGGATGAGGGAACCATAGAAACAAAGGCCCTGAGAGAGTAATCAGTCTTCATGGATTGGAGGAGGAGCAAGGCGGCAGGCACAGTCTGAGCAGATTGAGGAGTGGAGATGAAGATCCTGCCAAAGCAGTCACTCTAGACCACTTTACTTCAGCCCCTGCAGAAGCATCTTAAGCTTTTGTTTTGTTACAAATCACTCTAAAATCCAACCTATAAAACAGCCCCTTTTCTGTCCGTCTTTTAGGTAAAAAAACTCTCCTAAGTTTTCCTGAAATTAAGACATGTAGGCACTTTCTCCTTTGTTTCAACTGCCAGAAATTAGGATAAAATGAACTGCCCATGTGTCATGGTGCCAAAAACGCCTTTACTTCTTTCATATGAATGTTGCTGTTTTACCTTATATAATGTTGTCAACTCCGTTTCCTCAAAATATTTTGCTCTGCTAAATCTTAAATGCAAAAATGACTTGTTAGTAGGCAAGCATTCAACACCCGCCTCCGCCCAGTCACCATTAGCCTTTATTCACTTGCTGGAAGGTACTAGGTTCCTTCTGTGTCAGCCTATACCAGTGATGGCGAACCTTTTGAGCTCGGCATCTCAGCATTTTGAAAAACCCTAACTTCACTCTGGTGCCGTGTCACATATAGAAATTTTTTGATATTTGCAACCATAGTAAAACAAAGACTTATATTTTTGATATTTATTTTATATATTTAAATGCCATTTAACAAGGAAAAAATCAACCAAAAAAATGAGTTCGCGTGTCACCGGTTCGCCATCACTGGCCTATACAGATACTACTTGCTCATGTCTGGTCGACTTGCCCTGCCCGTTATATATGCTCCACCCACTTTCCCTTCATAGCACTTATCACATTAATTATTAAAATAAAAATGGTACAACAACTTCACCACCTTTTTCTTTCCTTTACCCTAACCCAGGGGTGGGCCAACTTTTTACTCGAGGGCCACAATGGGTTCTTAAACTGGACCGGAGGGCCGGAACAAAAGCATGGATGGAGTGTTTGTGTGAACTAATATAAATTCAAAGTAAACATCATTACATAAAAGGGTACGGTCTTTTATTTTTTGTTTTATTCATTTCAAGCTGCCGCATCCGGCCCGCGGCCGTAGTTTGCCCACGGCTGCCCTAACCCCACTCTGCTCAAAGTGCCAAGGGGTAAAATGCAGGCACTTTAAGATTTCTAAGGTAGGTTTCTTGCAGTATTGAGATGAGTAAGTAAAAGTAAGTGGCCAACATTTTTAAATTTAGAAATTTATTCTGTTTAATCCACAAGCTTTATATAGCTTTAGTTAAAAAAAAAAAAAAAAAAAAAAAACAACGAAAAAAACAAAAAACAAAAAAAACCCAAAACAAAACAGTGAAAACAAGACACTATTTCAAAGTCTGGGCCCTTCCAGCCTTTCAAATACAAGAGTTCTGAAGTTGTATATACCAATTGGAAGAATAAGACAAAATTATGAATGGAGCCATGACATTTCAAAAAACAAAATTGACGTAACTGAAGGATCCTTCCTGGGACTAGTTAACTGCCTTAACAAAAAAACACAACAGAACAGAATGAAATTCCAGTGTTCCAAATCAACTTGTTACACATCAGTATTAACCCACAGCGTCCTGGCAAACAGCATGCTTTCATTTTCTGTCTCATCCTAGAGCTTGATCCTGATTCATTTCAGCAGAGACTCCACAGGCAACAGGAAAGATGGTGGCATTAAAATGTTCATTTGTACTTTTGTAGTAGTTCAACAGTGGTCTTATTTCTGGGCAACTGCAAACCATACAAGGTTGGAAGCATCATAACTTAAATGGGTGCTAAGACTCAAATGAGAAAAAGTAAAGAAAAAAAAAAAAGAAAGAAAACCTCTGGGAATAGCCAGGGGCATTTAAAGAAACCATAAAAATGCCAACAATATTTAAAGCCCCTTTTTTAAAAAGGGAACTTTTTTTTTTGGCTTAAAATATTTCACTCTAAATGAATTTATGTCAGCTGTCAATAAAAGAATGTCACTAATACACTGTGGACACCTTTTGCAATGTAAATCCATGCCCTTTTTTACATGGTGAACTTCAACCTAGTAATTATTACAACAAATGTTATAGTCTAAAGCTCAAACACATTTTAGCATTTTTTGAAATTGAATTGAGTACAAACCAAATAAAATTTACATCATAACAAACATTTCCACCTAAGACTGTGGGGACACTTGAGCCTTCCTCATCGATCTCAGGGCCTTTTCCCGCAGGTGCTTTTCTAAGTCGTCAAGGTTATCTTCAGCTTCACTTTCAGTCTCCTAAAAAAAAACACACCGAAAGCTCTTATCCTTAAGTCTCGAGACACTGCTAGGAGATACTAAGTACAGAACAAAATCACGCTGTGATGATAGCTGCACAATTCTATGAATATACTAAACCTATCAAACCATATACTTTAAAAGGGTAAACTGTATAGTATATTAATTATATTGAGAAGTTATTTTTAAAATATAAATTAAGTTATATGGTAGCCATTCATATTGTTATCCTTAATCTTGGCAAATTCCTGTTCTTGGTAGGTCATTGAAAAAAGAGCAAGAGAGTTAACAACTAAGTAGCCAATTATTAAAAAAAGAAGAAGAAAATTTAGCCACTTGTATAAACCGAGGGACAATGATTCTAATACCTTCCTGGGCTCTGGCTCTGCCTCCGGTTCTTCCTGTGCTGATGTGGTGGTGGGAGCAGCAATGGCTGCAGGGGTTCCAGCAGCTGCAGCCATAGCCTTTTCTTTCTTGTGTTTTTTGTGTTTCTTGTGCTTCTTATCCTTTTTGTGTTTCTTGTCCTTCTTTTTCTTCTTTTTCTTTCCACCCCCTTCTTGGTCTGAATTCTAGAAATCCAGAAAAATAACAGCAATAAATTAATCATTAAAATTCCGTCCAATTCAACTCCCCCCCTTTTTAAAAATCCTCACTTGAGGATATATTCCACCCTCCCCCCCGACTGCTTTTCAGAGAGAGTGGAAGGGAGGGAGGGAGAGAAACATCGATGTGAGAGAGACGTATCATCTGGTTGCCTCCCGCACCTGCAACACAGGTACATGCCCCCTGACTGGGAATCGAACCTATGAGCCTTTGGTGTGCAGGCCAACACCCTAACCACCGAGGAACACTGGCCAGGGCCAACTCAACCTTTTATATGCCCAAGGAAATAACTAAATGGACCAGTCTCAAGGCTTCAAAGATATTTTACACAGATTTTTAAGAGCTAGAATGAACTGTGACGGGAAACTTTTTTTTTTACAATCTTACCCAACTAACTTCACATTAAACCAGGTTTCCCGACCACAAGCCAGCTGTGAGTCAGGGTCAACCTCCAGTTGTAAGGAAAAGCGGCATGTCCAATAGAAAGAAAAGTCTCAGAACTCAGACAGGCCTGAACTGAATTCTGGTTCTTGAACCTGTTAACTATCTGACTTCAAACAAATCTGCTCGACTTTTAAAATGAGCCCTTTTGGGTCAGCCTCTGGGCTCCAAAGGCTCCTTAGTTGTGCTTGAGGGTAAGCCCTTTTAAAAAAATTTTTTTTAAAAAAATTGATTTAAAAGAGAGGAAGTGAGAGGGAGAGCTAGAAACATCAGTCATGAGAGAGAATCATGGATGGGCTGCTTCCTGCATACCCCCTTCCTGAGGATCAAGCCCACAACCCGGGCATGTGCCCTGGATCAGAATTGAACCTGGAACCCTTCAGTCCACGGGCTGACGCTCTATCCACTGAGCCAAACCAGCTAGGGAAAGAATGCTATTTTTATGTAGCTTGCCAAAGACTAGATCAGTGGTTCTCAATCTTCCTAATGCTGCGACCCTTTAATAAAGTTCCTCATGTTGTGGTGACCCCAACCATAAAATTATTTTCGTTGCTACTTCATAACTGTAATTTTGCTACTGTTATGAATTGTAATGTAAATATCTGATATGCTGTATGTGTTTTCCAATGGTCGCTACCCACAGGTTGAGAACCGCTGGACTAGATAAAGCAATAAAGTACTTTTCATTCCATCTAGTATTTCACAGGTTGCAACGTTTCTTTTTTTTTTATAGAAACAATGTACAGTTGACTCTTGAAGAATGCAGGGATAAAGGATACCAACCCCCCTCGAAGTAAAAAATCCACAAATAACGCTGGCCAGATGGCTCGGTTGGAGCATCATCCTGGACACCAAAAGGTTTCGGGTTCAATCCCCGGCTGGGGCATGCATGTACAGGAGGCAACAGATTGATGTCTCTCACATACTGATTACTCTCTTTCTCTCTCAAAATAATCAATACACATAACCTGGAGGACTTAAAAAAATATACAAATAATATTTTACTCCCCCTAAATTTAATTATAGCCATCTCTCAGTACCCGTGAGGGATTGGTTCCAGAACCCCGAGGATACCAAAATTCACGGATTACCAAGTCCCTTAGATAAAGTGGCAAAAAACAATGTTTACAGTCAGCCTTCCAACTGTGGATTGAAAATACTGTTTTTGATCCACAGTTAATTGAATTCATTGATGGGAAACTAGGGGGATATGGATGGTCAATTGTATATTTATTGAGGAAAAAAATACACTTATCAGTGGACCTGTGCAGTTCAAGAGTCAACTGTATTTCCCCTGTTGAAAAAATAAAAGCATTAAAGTGCAATGAAGAAAAATTCAAATCACTCATCATTTCCCTAACACTGTGGTCGGCAAACGGCGGCTCGCGAGCCACATGCGGCTCTTTGGCCCCTTGAGTGTGGCTCTTCCTAAGCCTTAGGAGTACCCTAATTAAGTTAATAACAACGTACCTACCTATATAGTTTAAGTTTAAAAAATTTGGCTCTCAAAAGAAATTTCAATCGTTGTACTGTTGACATTTGGCTCTGTTGACTAATGAGTTTGCCGACCACTGCCCTAACACATAACCCACTGCCAGCAGTCTATTGTCTTCTTTGTGATATACATTTTTCCTTTATAAAAATATCATATTTATATAGGCACAATCTAAAATAAAAAATTGCATTGATTTGCATGATCTTAATTAGGCATCCCCAAATGTATCAAACTCTAGAGAAAACAGTAAAAATACTGAAGTGTTTTTCACCTAGATCAGTGATGGCGAACCTATGACACACATGTCAGAGGTGACACGCGAACTCATTTTTTTGGTTGATTTTTCTTTGTTAAATGGCATTTAAATATATAAAATAAATATCAAAAATATAAGTCTTTGTTTTACTATGGTTGCAAATATCAAAAAATTTCTATATGTGACACGGCACCAGAGTTAAGTTAGGGTTTTTCAAAATGCTGACACGCCAAGCTCAAAAGGTTCGCCATCACTGACCTAGATAATAGAACCATGGGCAATTTTTTCTTCTGTTTTTCTAGATTTTCTAAAGAGTCCAATCTCAACCACCAAGATTCTGGAGTTTAACAGTGTTAGATATATCAGAAATTAGTGGGTTGCTATAGTACTTTAATGGATTGCTGATGCAACCAACAACACTTAATTTGTACCTCCTTGAAGTCTATCTGAACCACAGAAAATAATGCTCCTCTGAGCTACAAAAGACAAAAAATGTTCTCTGCTTCCAAGTGACCACATTTATAATAAAAAAGCGTAATATGCAAATCGACTGAACAGCAGAACAACTGTCCGAATGACCACGCTATGACATGCACTGGTGCCAGGCCAGCCAAGGCCGGTGTGATGCGATTGGTCAGGGGGCCCCACCGTCGCCCCAGGATCACCCCACAGAGGGAGGCCCAGGTCACCAGCCAAAGGGGCAATCAATGGGGGAGGGGGGAGAAGGGGTGGTGGTGGCAGACGCAGGCAGCGCCAGGCCAAGGTGCGGGCGGGGAGCAGGGCCAGGTGTGGGCAGCCGGGGGAAGGAAGGCCTACCCTTGCACGAATTCTGTGCATTGGGCCTCTAGTACATTTATAAAGGATGTCCAAAATAGACCAGACACATACCCTCGCAGGTGATGGGCTTGGTGTTGGGCTTTTAGCCTTTTTGACCGGTACCGCTGGTGACCAGTTGGTAGAGGGTGACTGAGACTGGACAGGAGATGGAGGTGCTGGGGGTTTTTTAGCTGCTGGCTCAGGAGATCCTGAGACAGATCGGGAGGATGAGACTCTCCTTACAGATTGAGGGCTTGGTGAGGCAGCTCTAGACAAAGGGAAAAACAAAACAAAACATTTATTATTCAAGAACAGAGATCTTTCCTAAAAGAAAATAACCAACTACCATTACAGAACTAGATCACAAACTTTAACTCAAATTTATATCATCTAAGTCTCCTGGTATTAAATAGTTCAAGCCTCACAATTCTCTTTCCATTCTGTTAGTGATTCTTTCTGTATGAAATTAGCAATGCCAATTCCTAGTATTTTACTTAAGACTGCTTTTAGCTTTTATCAGTCTTACATAGACATGCAAGGAATATTCTAGCCCTAGCCAGTTTGGCTCAGTGACTAGAGTGTTGGCCTGTGGACTGAAGAGTCCCGGGTTTGATTCCAGTCAAGGGCACAAGCTGAGGCTGCGGGCTCAATCCCCAGTAGGGGGTGTGCAGGAGGCAGCCGATCAATGATTCTCTCTAATCACTGATGTTTCTCTCTCCCTTCTTCTCTGAAATCAATAAAAAAATATTTTTAAAAAACCCCACCAAAAATGAAATATTCTATTAATCACTTAAGAGTTTAGAACCAGAAAGAAACCTATGGCATTTAGTTTATGCCATTAGGAACAATCCTGAAAACAGAGAAGGGTCTCTGAATAGTAATCAGAATTTGCTTTACAAGTTTGTATTCACAGCTTATTCTTTCTGTAATTTCATAGTAAAGGGGGGTGAGGAGAGGAGCATTTCAACATAAAGAAAGCTATGCAAGTTAATGTTCCTAATCAAAGAGCATAACATATCTTTACTTTTTTGTCTTTTTGGGTTCTGGTGTCCTGGAGACTCTCCTAATGGGCCTAGTACTTGGAGATGGGGATTGCCTTCTTTGGGGTGATGATGAGGCTCCTCTTCGAACGGGTGGAGGACTTGAGGAGGTCTGAGGAGCTCGAGGCCGTGGCGAGGGCGAATGCCGTTTGTTTGGTTGTGGTGACCGGACCTCCCGCGTAGATCGGCCTGGGGAAGACCCTTTCCTATGTTTTGATGACAATGAAGGTGAACGTCTCTTGTTGGCTGGGGAGCTTCTTTGTTTGGGAGGTGGAGAATGGGAGACGCGACGCTTTGGTGGTGGAGATGGTGATGCCCTTCGTTTAGGAGGGGGTGGGGGAGAAGCCGTTCTTCTCTTCGGAGGTGGGGAAGGAGAATATCTCCTCTGTATTGGAGGAGAGTATCTTCTTGGGGAAGGTGAGCGCCGACGAGGGGGAGGAGAAGGAGTCCTATAGGAAAAACACATCATTAAGCTGGAAGGTCCAACAAGAAATAGTATACAAAGAAAACTAACCAGTAATTATGGCAATATAGGCACATCTCAGATACTTTGGATTTTGTTTCCTATCATTGCAATACAACAAATATTGCAATAAATCAAGTAAAATAAATTTATTGGTTTCCCAGTGCATATAAGTTATGCTTATACCATACTGTAATCTATTAAGTGTGCAATAGCATATTTCTTTAAAAAACAGTGTATGTACAGTTATTTAAAAATATCTTATTGCTAAAAAATGCTCACCCATCATCTGAGCCATCTTTTTGTTGGTGGTGGATCTTGGCTCAGTGTTGATGAAAATGCAATATTTACAAAGTGCAATAAAATGAGGTACTTGCGTGTATTGTACTAGCACCAGGCAAAGGGAGTATTTTCTACATGGAAATGCTATACCTTTATCTTTATTTAAGTAAAAACATCACAATAAAATTCCTGTTTATCATAAAGTACTACAATAACCAGAATTTTGTATTATTTTCCATACAAACAACTGTAAACCTACTTTTGCCCCACATTAAATAGTGTTCCTACCTTTAAATTGATTTCTCTGTATCTATATGTGACTCAGATACCATAAAAGCGAGCTATTTAAAGTGTACATTTTGCCCATCCCTTGTGGCTCAGTGGTTGAGCATTGACCTATGAACCAAAAGGTCAAGGTTCAATTCCTGGTCAGGGCACATTCCCAGGGTTTCGGGCTCAATGCTCAGTGCGGGGGGTGTGCAAGAGGGAGCTGATCAATGAATCTCTCTAATCTGATGCTTCTATCTCTTCCTTTCCCTTGCTCTCTAAAATCAAAGGTCCCAGGTTTGATTCCAGTCAAGGGCACATGCAAGAGTATAAAGTGTACATTTCAATGGTTTTTAGTATATTTGTAGTTGTATAACCATATGACTCCCCATTCCCACCTAGACACCACTAATCCACTTTGTATCTATAGATTTGTGTTCTGAATTTTTCATATAAATGGAATCATATTTGTGGTGTTTTCTGAATGGCTGAGCAATATCACTCTAAGCTATTTCAATCAGAAAGGCTCAAACGTGCTCTAATTAAGATTCATCAAGGGTGGCGGGGAGATCAACCAAAGGACTTGTATGCATGCATGTAAGTATAACCAATGGACAGAGACACTAGGGGTGAGGGTATGAGCAGGGAGGTGGGGGCAATAGGGGGATAAGGTCACATATTAATACCTTAATCAATAAAGAAAAAAAAGAATTCATCAAAGATGGACACACAGTAATGTGGTGAAGGCCTGGGTAGGGCGGGGGCTGGGTGGAAGAGGATAAAAACGGGGAAATCGGGGGACAGCTGTAATGCTGTCAACAACGATATTTAATGATCTTAATAACTATATAGATAAATAAGCAAAGTTTCTCTAATGAACTCCAACAAACATATCTGATAAAATACCTTCGTCTTGGTGGTGGTGTGGGAGACCTACGCCGTCGAGGAGGTGGAGCAGGAGAGGGAGAACGTCGCCTTCTGGTGGGTGGTGGGGAGGGACTTCTCCTGCGTCGACCACTGCACCAAAGAAGAATTATAGTTGATTCTGAGTTAGTAGCATTTATAATTAAGTTATCTAAATGACACCATTTCAATCATTAACCCAAAGTGCAGCAACTGTTACTCTATCCCTCAGAGCAGTTTTCAAATTACAGTTCAAGAGTATGAGTCAAGACCCTGGGTTATGAACCACCATTTTTAAAGAACAGAAAATCAGAATGTTGCTTGCAGTAAAGATAAATATTCTTTATGAAATCTTTGTTTCAGCATATAAATATGTAGTCTGGGCCATGATATAAAATATTCTTAACGTGATGAAGGGAAAAAAGTTTGGAAACAGAGCCTTAAGAGAATTGTTTTGAAATTGGCACACACCAGAATCACCTGGGAAACTTATTTGAGCTTTGCATTCATCAGGTCTGGGCTGTGGTCTAGCCAGTGTATTTTGAAAAGACTCTCAAGGTGATTTTCCAATACCTTACTAGAAACAACTGCACTGAAGCCTAGAAAAATTTAATGTTCAAAACAGATATTTTGAATTTAACACTTATTAGTGGCTTAAAGCCCAAAATCTGGGTGTCACAGCTCCAAATTCTTGAGTTTTAAAATGTACACTGCTCAAGAGTTGCATACTGTTAACTGAAAACACTGTCCCCAAAGGCAAAGGATAAAAGTTGTCTGAGCACTAAAACTACATCTGAAATATACAGATTATATCAATTCATAGCCATCTTCCTAAAGATATATTAAAATATACACTAAACCAGTGTGCCACCTTTTGGGTAAATTTGTAATTACAAGTAGCCAAATAATATAATTAATTTCTTGTCCAGAACAGTATTGGTGCTGTCCTTGAGGTCTGAGGAGCTCGAGGCCATGCTCCTCATATTTCCTATGAATCTGGAAATATTTTCTAAAGTTTATTGGTCTTGGTTCCCTTTAAAATTAAGAAGGGTTCTGTTACCAGCGAAAATCCTGAAATTATTAAATTAAAATTTATATTTGTTTATGCCTTGTGTAGACTAAAACTCCACTTTGATTTAAAATAAAAGCTACAAGAGGCAAAGATATCAAGACAGATAAGCTTTAGATGAGTGAAATGTAGGCATTGAACTATTAATTACAAAAAAAGGGACAGTTTTAAAGGGGAAGCCACTTATCAGCAGGGTTAATCAGAATTATGGGACCAAGAAAATAGGATAATTACAGTACTGTTTCATCAACAGGTAATGAAGATTTCAAATGGGTTTTTGACTTAAAAAGAAGAAAAGCAAAGGTTTATATTCACAAACTTTGAGGGTGAGATGACTTAAACCAGAACTCCCAATATGTTATCAATAGGCATAATAGCATAAGAGGCTATTTACTATTGATTATGTAGCTTCTCTTTTAAAAATTCTCCCAATTTGTTTGCAAAACATTAAACAAAGAGTCTCATTAAAACTGAACTCAGATTAGAATCTATTATGAATCTATCTATGAGGTATTTATTCTGCGCCTTAGTTTCATTTGTAAAATGAAATAACTAAAGGTCCCTTTCAGTAATGACCTTCATCTGGTTTCCTGTGTTTCTATGTGAGAAAATAACTGAAAAGAGAATAAATAAAACCATAACCAAAGTAGCATAACCTAAGGAACTGCCAGAAAAATCTGATAATCACTTATAACTGGAATCTTGATACCACATGATTCTATGACCTGAAAGCTGTAGTTTTTTTAACTGATCTGATAAGGCACACATTTCAGGGATTAAAGGAAAAAAAGGTAAGCATTTTCTAGTTACCCTGAACACTAATGTCAAACCAAGCATTCAAATGTGTGTAGAAATTGTTGAATAGAAAGTTTCCCTCCTAAAAACTGTGAGAGAACCAGTTTTCGGTAAGACTCAATTTGATGTGTAGCCCTTAGCCTCTCAAGCATTTAGGAATAGACAAGTCTCACAGCAAGGCGCCAACTTGCTATCTCTGCAGCGACATCTTCAGAACAATCTCATTTCACTAGCCACATTGGTGATCGGAGGTAAAAAGTTATAGATGTGACCACTACACTAAGTATGATCAATATACCGTATCCTTTAATTTAAAGGAGTATTCAATCCCCAAAGACGAGTGTTTAAGAGCATGAAAAATGTTACTGTTTTTTGTTTAAACTTTATATATATATATATGAAACAAGGCTGTGTTTCCCCTCTTAAAATACTATAAATATTGAAGCATGATTCCAATTAATTATTTCTACATCTCTAAATCCCAGACACCTGACTGCAATTTCTAACATCACTAAACTTGAGGCTACTAGTATAATTTAGTACCTTTTATTTTTTATATATATTTTTATTGATTTCTGAGAGAAAGGGAAAGGGAGAGATAGAAACATCAATGATGAGAGAGAATCATGGATCGGCTGCCTCCTGCACACTCCCTACTGGGGATCGAGCCCGCAACCCGGGCATGTGCCCATGACGGGAATTGAACCCGGGACTCTTCAGTCTGCAGGCCGACACTCTATCCACTGAGCCAAACCAGCTAGCGCAGTACCTTTTAAAATGTGGATACACAAAACAAAAACATCCTGGTGTAGGGTAATAAACATTAGCGTTGATTTCACTGTAATGAGAAATCTCTTTTTCAGTAAAGAAAATAGTTCCATAATTTGGGGAGTGGAAGAAATCTTACCACTAAACTGATTTTGTAAAGTATACAAATCTATAATTAAGTTGATGAGTAAAGAAGCCAGGGTTAATTACAGCTGGGTACAGAATACCTTAGCAGTGGTTCTCAATCTTCTAGCCCTTTAAATACAGTTCCTCATATGTTGTGACGCAACCATAAAATTATTTTCGTTGCTACTTCATAACTGTAATGTTGCTACTGTTATGAATCGTAATGTAAATACCTGATATGCAGGATGGTCTTAGGCAACCTCTGTGAAAGGGTCGTTCAACTGCCAAAGGGGTCGCGACCCACAGGTTGAGAACCGCTGATCTAAAGCGATCTTGTTTTAGGTTTTCATTTTTTAATTGAGAAGTAATAGTTCCTTTCACGGCACAAATATACTGCTTAGGCTCCACTACAAATATTGCTGACTGGTTCTAAAGAGCCTTTCCAAGAAAACCCTTTTATTAATGAGACTACCTAAAAGAACATAGCTTCAAAAACTGAGCCAAAATAAGACAATGAGAGTTTCAGGAAGAACAAATACTTAGAAATTAAGTGGCAGCTAAACCTCTGCAAACAGAAAACCAGTGAAGATATAGTCTAGTGCTATGTCAATGGCACAGGTAAGACCTAGCTTTGTTACTTTGTAACTCTAAAAACTCACTTTACTACTTCCGGGCCTGTTTATTTCACCCACGAGATAGGCTACATTAAAGATTTCTAGGTATGATTTGACTTGAAAATGTTAGGTTTCATGGTCACCCAGACACTGATAATCAAAAAGGGTCAATGAAAATATGCAAACCTACCTTCCTACCATAGGAAGCACTGAGCAAAGGCCAAAATCTTGCATTCCTTTTTCACTTTTTGAAGCCTCTCCATAGTTTTTCTTGCCTTCCCTAATGTCACCATCAAGTCCTTCCCCACTAAATCTGAGGTGCTATTACTACAAATACTTTAACTGTACAAAAATATGTTCAAATAACTCTCTAAAATGAACAGTATATACAATTCTATCATTAAATTGATGTGTAAAGAAGCATAATTAAAAACTAAAACTGAGGACCTTTTCCACAGCCATACATTGTATACCTAGGAATGGAGTAAGGTTACCTAAACAGTAAATTAAGTCACTAAAACTTTGACATGTAATCCTGTTACAAAGTAGTGTCTAACCAACCTTTTAGTCATTGGCGATTGCCATCGCTTTCCCATCTGCATCCTGAGAGCAGTGGAGAAAAACAAATGTCAAGAATTCCATTCACCAAATTATTTACTTCAATGGCATTAAGTATCACTAATGGAGATATATTTTTTAAACAGGAATCATTTAACTGGTATTCTTTTTGTCATGCACACATATCACATGGTGGTACAAACCTTACAAAGTTCTCATTAATTAGCTAATAATCACCAAACAATGCAACCCCCTACCCAACAAAATGTGACCATTTCCTTCTGTCCTGGAAATGGAGTTAGCCAAATTCTAAAATAAGCCCATAGCCCATCCCTTTATTTATGAAGTTTCATCACTACAGAACACAGCAATGAAGCTACTGAAGAAAAGACATTACCGAGGGGAAGTCTCTTTCTGGCGTTTTCGAGGTGATGGAGAAGCACTCCGGGAAGGGGAATGTCTCCGCCGCCTGCCTACCTCACCATTCTTCACATGGGACCTCTTGGGTCGCTCTTCTTCTGAGGAAGATGAGGAGCCAGAATCTATAATTACACAATAAGCAAAATATTACAGCAAGTCTGTGCTTAAAAGTCTGTCCACATTTTCTGAATCTAAATGGATGGAGTGTCTAAAGCAGTGATGGCGAACCTATGACACGCGTGTCAGAGGTGACACGCGAACTTATTTTTTTGGTTGATTTTTCTTTGTTAAATGGCATTTAAATATATAAAATAAGTATCAAAAATGTCTTTGTTTTACTATGGTTGCAAATATCAAAAAATTTCTATATGTGACACAGCACCAGAGTTAAGTTAGGGTTTTTCAAAATGCTGACATGCCGAGCTCAAAAGGTTCGCCATCACTGGTCTAAAGATTAATTACTTTGCCCTAGCTGGTTTGGCTCAATGGATAGAGCATTGGTCCTGCTCAAGGGCATATGCCCGGATTGCAGGCTTGATCCCTACGAATCAATGATTTTCTCTCATCATTGATGCTTCTATCTCTTTCTCCCTTCCTCTCTGAAATCAATAACAATATAAATAAATTCTGTTTTTTAAAAAAAGAATCAATTATTTCTATGTAGGCACAAACATATTTTTCCTACATATACTCGCTATACTGAGGGACATGCATTATCTTTATATATATATATATATATATATATATATATATATATATATATATATATATATATAATTCTTTATTGTTGAAAGTATTACATGGGACATGCATATCTTAAGTACTTTTTAAATTAGGAAATGCAGGTAGAAAAAACTTAATCAGTATCCGTACCAGATGATGACTGCTGGTTCTGTCGTCTGTATTGGCGTCTCTGCTGCACAGAATCTGCTGCAGCCATTTTGCCACCTTTATCTTCTTCTGAAAGATGGATGCATTTAGAAAGTGTTTCTTTAGTTATGCATACAGAAAATGAAACATATTCGAATAGGAAAAAGGTCTCTTAAACCTTTATCTGATTGGGTCAAACAATACAACTATCTCACACACACACACACACACTTTTTTCTTTTTTTACAAAGAAGGAAAAGCTCAAAACGCCAACTTAAATGCTGATTTAAACCATCACCACCAAATGTAATAAACTTCTTTAGTCCTGGCCAATGTGGCTCAGTTGGATGGGCATCATAACATGCACTGAAAGTTTGCGGGTTCGATTCCTGGTCAGGGCACATACCCAGTAGGAGGTGTGAAGGAGGCAGCTGATTGATGTTTTGCTCTCACATCAATGTATGTTTCTTTCTCTCTCTCTCTCTCTCTCTCTCTTTCCCTCTCTAAAAATAAATTTAGCCCTGGCCGGTTTGGCTCACTGGATAGAGCGTCGGCCTGGAGACTGAAGAGTCCCGGGTTCGATTCCAGTCCAGGGCATGTACCTTGGTTGCAGGCACATTCCCAGTAGGGGGTGTGCAGGAGGCAGCTGATCGATGCTTCTCTCTCATCGATGTTTCTAACTCTCTATCCCTCTCCCTTCCTCTCTGTAAAAAATCAGTAAAATATATTTTAAATAAATAAATTTTAAAAAACCTAAAGGATGATACTGCTATCCACATTGCAGATGTGAAAGAAATGAGGCTAAGATAAATTAAGTAATTAAACAACAAAAAGCAGTTAAAGAGTGGAGCCTGGGATTCAAACTAGGTTCGTGTTACTTCAGAGTCCTAGCTCTTAACTAATATCCTGTAAGTAATCTTTAACCAGAAGGGTTTTATCAAATGTGCTACAAACAGAATTCATCTTAAAACAAACATACACACAAAACTTACCTGATTCAGATAACTCTACTTTTCTAGGCTTGGGTGCTGGTGAAGGGGACTCCCTTTTCTCAGTACCTTTATGTTTTGTCACTAGAAAGAGTACAGAAAAAAACCACTTATAAAAAGAAAACAAAACAAAGCTTCACAGGACATGTTAACAATACAAAAATGGGGTGACTATTCTCATAAAGGATTTACAGAAAATTACAAAATTTCTGTAAGGACTTTGTCATTACCTGGGCAGTACCTGAAGTAGAAGCAAGAATTTTTAATACTGAATCAAAAGACCTAATAATGATTTAGAATCTTGAGATTCACCCAAAAGAAACAATAGTTTAGAGAAATTGGGAGCTGTTTCTGAGTAGCTTTATGCTATGTGTAACATCAACTCAGTAAACCTCTGTGTGCTACCCCACAACTTAAAACATTCTAAGGAGACCTCATCAACACGAAAGCTTTCAAACACCCACTGAGTAGGTTCAGTAAGTAGGTAATTAAAAAATTGTATCTGCTGAAATTTTCAGAAAAAGATATTTGGACTGAAGAGGAGGAATAAACGAGTCACCCAACAGGCTGTAGGTTCTTTATGTACACAGAGCATATATAACCCTCACAATAGCATGAGGGATTTTAAACTACCTATAAAAAAAAGTAGACCTTCACAATAGTGAAAATAATTAAACATGAAGATTGCAAGGTTCTTTCTAAAGCTCAGAGGGAGGTTAAAAAAAAAAAGCAGCTGCAGCTCTGAAATATAACCATAGTAGTAGGAGAGCGGTGGGTACCTTATGAATTATCCAGCTTACCTTTTTCCAATTGCAAGGAAAATTATTATAGCAACTACCTTTTGTACGTTTGCTATGTTAAGTACTGTTGCTAATACCACAGTCCCCCTCCTTTTTACAAGAGGAGAGGTGTGACATTTAAATACAATTAACCTTGAAGTCATAAGGATAATTTAAGTGAACTAGGATCTGACTCTAACACTCTATTTCTGGATACAGGCTTTAATTTTCAACAACTATTACTTCTGTCTATAATAGCCATCCATTGCTTCAACTTAAAAAGTATAGAGAGCTATAACTATTAATCTTATAGATTAACCTGAACATCATTTGACATTACTGTAAGAACTAAACTTGAAGACAGTATGATCCCCCCTCAGGACCTTTACAACTGTTTTTTTTTTTTTTTAATTTAAAGTAATTACCATGGGATGTTTGACCTAGGATACAGATACATTTCATTTAACAAACATACATATTCAGAATTCTATCAAGACTTATTCAAAGGGCAGTAACTTAAGAGAACTAGTGATGGAAATCAACAATTAAGTCCTAGCCAGTTTGGCTCAGTGGATAGAGCATCAGCCTGCAGACTGAAGGGTCCCAGGTTCAATCCCAATCAAGGGCACATGCCTGGGTTGCGGGCTCTATCCCCAGTAGGGAGTGTGCAGGAGGCAGCCGATCTATGATTCTCTCTCATCATTGATGTTTCTTTCTATCTCTCCCTCTCTCTTCCTCTCAGAAATCAATAAAAATATATTTAAAATAATAATTATTAATAAATACATAAAAAAGCAATAACTAGGGTGGGGGGAAAAAATGGACACATATGTAATACCCTTTGTAATACTTTAAGCAATTAAAAAAAAAAGCAATAAAATCTCTGCTAAAGTAGTCAAACTAAAGAATTCACCACTATACTTTTTTTTTTAATTTTTTTAAAATATATTTTATTGATTTTTTACAGAGAGGAAGGGAGAGGGATAGAGAGTCAGAAACATTGATGAGAGAGAGAAACATCGATTAGCTGCCTCCTGCACGGCCCCCAGTGAGGATGTGCCCGCAACCAAGGTACATGCCCTTGACCGGAATCGAACCTGGGACCCTTGAGTCTGCAGGCCGACGCTCTATCCACTGAGCCAAACCGGTTCGGCACCACTATACTTTTAAAACCACCAGCACTTTAGCCTTGGCCAAGTAGTTGACTAGAGGGTCATCCCAATATTCCAAGGTTGCAGGTTCAATCTTCTGTCAGGGCACATACAAGATATCAACCAATGAACATATAAAGAAGTGGAACAATAAATCAATGTTTCTCTCTCCCCCCCTTCCTATCTTTCTCTAAAATCAATAAATAAAAGTTAAAAAAAAAGAAAACAACCAACGTTTTATTAATGATTCTACCTAATAAGCTTTTTGGTCAAACTGATGGACTGGGTAAAGAATGATTAACACCTAATTAGTTATCATGAAATATGATAGCACTATAAGTGCATTTAAAACTTGTATTTTAACACATTGTATGCGGGAAACGTGTTTACACGTTTTACATATTTATATGTTCTACCAGTGTAGTAGAGCGCGGGACACGTATTAATACGTTTTTTATAGACTAGCGGTAGAATGCGGGTAACGAATAAATACGTAAACTAAAGTTATCGTAATTTTACTGAACATTGCCATTTGCGCAAAAAATTAGCAAAAATGGCCCGCGCCACCTGTTAGCGCGCGATAAAAACTACCCGCAAACAATGTGTTATGTTAATAAATTCAAATAAATAAAATAGAAAGGCTTAAAAATGTTTAGGGATATGAGGCTTTTTTCCCCTGTTTAGTATTGCCCATTCCTAAAAAATGTAAAAAATGTTTTGTTTTGTTTTTGAGAGGGAGGGGGAGGGGGAGAAAAAGTGAGTGAGAGAGAGAGGGAGGAAGAGAGAGTGTGAGAAGTATCGGTTGCTCGGTTGCTTCCCGTATACACCCTGACTAGAAATTGAACCAGCAACCTTGTGGTGCATGGGATGTCATTCTACCAACTGAGTCACACTGGCCAGGGCTTCCCCATTTTTAAGTGTCAGTTTATCTTCAATGCTTGTAAAAGATTTTACAGACAACCCGTTATCTACAAACCCACATGTTTAAGTTACCACCTTGGAAAACTGGGTTCCAAAATGTGGATGTCAGAAAGTATTTCCCCTAGGAAACATTAAAAGCGTGGTTGTATTTGAAAGATGGCTGGCAACTCCCTACTTAGTAAATAATACAGATTTAACCATACATTATTTACATTTTTTTCCTGTAAAAATATGCATTTGGAGTTTTTCCTAACTCAATCTAAATGGCTTAGCTAAAGTAGTCCTTAATTATTGTTAATATATAGTCACCATTAGACAAGTATACATTATATACTCCTACGCTGGTTCAATGACTGACTGAATCAGAATACTACTAATATTATAATGTTAATGTCCCATTGAGGTTTGCCCAGATGAGATTTTATCCATCCAAATGTTTTTATTTTTTGTATTCAAGGGGCAAAAATCATTCTAGTATGAAGTCAGAAATCTTCTAAGTCAACTGAAAAACCAGTATTTGGAATTTATTTCAGCAGTCCCTATGAATTCACCACATGGGAATGGGAGGAGGCAGGAGAGGGTAATGGGGGGATAAATGGTGACGGAAAGAGACATGATTTGGGGCAGTGACCACACAATATAATACAGAGATGGTGTCTTATAAATTGTACACCTTAAACCTATATAATTGTATTACTCAATGTAACCCCAATAAGTTTAAAAATAATAAAAAAAACTTCCATTACCACAGGTATAGATCCTCTGGTAAACATAATTAACTATCCCACTGATTTCAAAGCACTTCTTTATGTACTAAGATACCACTTTAACTATGAAATGCCATTGATTACATTATATTCCAAATAATTTACCTCTTAAATCCCCCAAAATACTTTTCCTGCCTCTCTCCCACTCCATTTACCCATCATCAATAACAGAACCTTTTTTGAAAGCCCTAATTGGTGACTACTATATGAATTACAAAAGTAAAGCCTATTACATTTCAATGTCATTGCTCTTATTAGCCATGAAAACTGCAAAAAAAGGAATTTCTGAAATCATGGTACCAGGTGTACAGAAGCCGAAGAATTTCACCCTGCCCTCCATTCCCCTCCTCCAGAAATCAAAACAGGCATTTTGGAGTAGGAGAGTTTGACCAAGTATACATTTTTTAACTGGAAATGCGAACCCAAATTCCAGTCCAGGTTGGCTGACCCTCACCAAATCACTTAACCTGAGAACCTGTTTCTTGATGACAATCTCTAAAATTATTTCTAGCTCTGAAATTTCATCACAGATGACTAGGATCATGTTACCATAAAGTTATTCCCAAGTAGTAAGAACCAGTATTCAGCTTCAGTGGTCACAAGGCAGTCTCTGACTACAATGATCACAGTACGTCTCTTTGGCTAGGTCTCAGAATCCACAGGAATAGAACTAGTCCTTTGTCTCCACCATGACTTATTTCTTGCTTATGTACATATTCACTGTGACTTGTTTCTGAAAAGCAGCAGCTTGCGCCCCGCAATAATATATCAAAACACAAGCAGTTTGTACCTATGAAGATTTTTCAAAGGTAACTACTAATTCTTAATAATTAACCTATTTTAATAGGGATGCAGTCCTTCTGTTCAGGTACACTTATTAGCCTTTGGCTATATGATGCAAACAGAAAAATCATAACTTGACGTGTTTTTGCAAAGTGACACGTTGCTCCTTAAAATCCAAATGACTATAGCCTCTTTTTAGATTTCCCCCCTCCACCACTACTCACCTTTCAGGTGTCTTTCTCATTCTGGCCCTAAGCACCAAGGCCCGATTCCATTCAAATAGATCCTATAGTGTGTATTTAATACTAAAGGAACAAACCCCAATAGACCACAACCTTCACTCAAGACTAACACAGTCAATATTCTACTTGCCTGGCAGGATCACAGATCATAAATTCCTCAGAAATCAATCTACAGAATGAAGCAAGAACAAAACGCAAGAACCCTGTCTAGAGCCTAAATTTAAAAAACAAATCAGCTTTTAGGACACCATGTCCTTCCTTAGAGAGCACAATGTGGCCAAGAAAATCATTAAAAAGAATATGAAGTCCTCAAACAAAAAAATCTTCAGGGGTTGGGGAGTTAATTAATTTCATAGTAATACAATGATCCCTTATCATGATGAAACAACTTTGATGTTACTCAAAATCAAACAGCACCGACTAATAATATATTTCTCTACCTACTCAATGCCAGAGGGCACTGCTAAAAACAAAACACATGTAAAGTCTATTACAACAAATCTCAAGAACTTAAAAGCAGGAAAGAAAAGGTGAACGAACCTCTGAGCAATTTACAAACACCACATACAAATACTACCCAGAAACTTCATACTTTGAAAGGAGAAAGGGGTGACCAACAACTGACAAGCACTTTATAAGTAAATGAAGAAAGGATATATTGTGTTTATTTGTTTGATTTTTACCTTTACCTGAAGTTCTCCCAGGAGAGACAGAAACACGACTTTTTCTTGTCCGGTTTGACTGCTGGGGTGTCGGGGAATGACGAGTTTTTGGCGGAGGAGTTGCCGGAGGTGATGGCCTATGCCTTCGCCTTGGAGGACTTGTTGAGGGAGACAACCTCCGCATTTTTCGAGGGGGGCTGGCTGTCCTCTTAGGAGGCTTCTTTGGCGGTGACCGGGAACGAGACGAAGAAGAGGATGAACTACTTCCAGACAAGGATGCTGATGAACGCCTTCTTCTGTGGAATAAAGTATTCATACTCAGTAACTGCACATTTACAAAGGTTATGTACAGTTTATATAAAAATACAGCTATTTTTATCCAACTTTTGAGTTTATGTAGCTAAGCAGATAATGAGTTTTAAAAATAGGAAACAAAACCATAACCTACCACAGGTAACAGCTAAAGACTATGAAGAAAGAAATTATTCTGATAAATGTATGTTTGAATTGTCTTTCCAGTTATAAAATATGTTGAGTGCTAATAACATAACTAACCAGACTCATTCTTCCTTAGGAATGATATCAGTGCTTTGGAGTTTGCATACAATGTTTGGTGGCAAAGTATTTTCCATTTATTAACAATGTCAAGCAACCTTTAGATGCATTTTTAAAGAGATGCGAAAGATAAGGAATTCATTTAGCTACATAAACTTAGAAGCAGGGGTCTCTCGAATTCTGCGGCAAAATTTGTGTTAAGTTCTGTTGCAATTATGTGTACCTGCAGAATTCACCTTTGGCAGAAGAATTCCTGAGAACCTGAAAAAAAGAAACCCTACCTTAAGTGTGAGATAAAAACTACCTGAAAGGGAATCTTACACAATCTGCAAAATATTTTGATTGCTAAACGGCTCAATTAATAAAACATGCTGTTTGCAAAACTCCAGTATAAAAATTAGCTGTTTCCACTAATCCTGTACTAGAAATAGAAAGCACCAGTATTACTTTTCTCCTGAGAAATCAATTTTAGAAGTGTGATGCTTAAACTGCCTGACCATTTATATCTCAATTATCAACAGTAACATTAATCCTATGATTTTTAGTGGTTATAAAAATGGTTCAATTTACCTTGACAACTCCTCCCCACAGAAAAATATTATCTTTTTAAAAACTATGGGATTCTAAAAACCCTGTTTGCAGGAACAGCAAAAATTATGGAGCTTACTGTTTCCTCTCTTTATTTCCAAATTGATTCAGTCCCCTGAAAACAACCTTAAAAGATTCAAACGCAAAAAATTGTGTCCCGAGTATAAGCTGAAGCATAACCATCAGAGTTCCTTCTAAAAACACATGAATGCACTGATTGCCAAGAAGGCACAGAACTTTGCTATCAGTGCACCAGGCCTCTATTTTGGACAATACAGCAACAATCTTTTTTTAAAAAAATATATTTTATTGATTTTTTACAGAAAGGAAGGGAGAGGGAGAGTTAGAAACAGAGAAACATCGATCAGCTGCCTCCTGCACACCCCCTACTGGGGATGTGCCCACAACCAAGGTACATGCCCTTGACCGGAATCGAACCTGGGACCCTTTAGATCACAGGCGGACGCTCTATCCACTGAGCTAAACCGGTTAGGGCAGCAACAATCTTTTTGTTAAAAGTGATAGGTCACACATTTTACTTTGTGCCAACTTTAAGATTTAAAAAAACAGAACATTGTGTATTAACAGGGTTTCTTTAATGTCCAGTCTCTTAAAAAAAATACCAGACACCAAACTGCTAAAAGATTATATCTATGGAATGGGATTATGGGTAAAGAGAGAGACAGAAACATAGATTTGTTGTTCCACTTATTAATGCATGCTGTTTGATTACTGTATGTGTCCTAACTGAGGATCAAACCCACAACTCCGGCGCATCATGACGAGGCTCTAACCAACTGAGCCACTGGCCAGGGCTGGGTAATTTTTATTTCTGTTTGAATTGTTTATACTAAGTACTCAGTTCTATAATGACAAAAAAGCAAAACAAAACAAACAAAAAAACATTTTAAAAATATAAAAGTATATGCCCGGCTGGAGTGGCTCAGTTAAGTGGGCTCAATTCCCACTGAAAGCACATGCAAAAAAAGAACTGATTGATGCTTCTCTCTTTCTCCTGGAATCTTTATAAGGATGTCCTCGGGTGAGGATTAATAAATAAATAAATAAATAAATAAATAAATAAATAATGCAAATAGATTATTTTAATACTGGTAAAAGCAGCTTACTGGCTCTGTTGTCATCTACTGTTCAGAAGCCAGTGGTAACTAAAATCCAAAAAGAGAGGTTAGGTGACTAATTTCCTTACTTGATAAAATTTCTTGGTGGGGTCTGAAAGGACACCTTAACAAGAGGTATCAGTAAGATGGTAGGGGGCAGGGTGGGCTAGAAGGGGTCAATGGGGGAAAGGGCGCATATGTAATACCTTCCCAATAAAGAATTCAACAATTTAAAAAAAGATGATAAATTTCTTCTTTTTTATTTTCCAGCAATAGACTAGCATTATTTTTCATTGCAAATAACAGCACACCTCAAATGAGATAGGCTCTTTGGAAGACATTACCTATCACACATGAGTTCTTTCTTCCAAGGGGACACTAATATAAAGATTAGCCTAAAATAAACATATGGTCCACTTCCATTCACCTAACAATTTCAAATTAAAAAAAGAAAAGAAAGCTCACCGTCTCACTGGAGATCTACTCCTCCTATGCCTTGGTGGAGGAGGCATTCGTCTTGGTGGAGTTCTTCTTCGAGGAGATGGCCGCCTTCTTGGGCTTGGCCGCCTTCTAGGTGAGTATGATCTGCCATAACAAAAAAATTAGGGCCTCAATAAATCAGGAACACAAACTAAATTGTTTTGACATAGTTTCTCAATAGCTATATTTTCAAAAACATTTCATAGGATATAATTCCATTTATGTAGAGATTTTTATGGTGTAAACTGTCCTCAAATTCTCTCTGTAAACCCAAAGAATAACATTTTACTAAATGTTTTCTATTGCTTTGAAACTAGTTACCTAGCCTGGCTGGCAGGGCTCAGTGGTTGAGTGTCGACCTATGAACCAGAAGGTCATGGTTTGATCCCCGGTCAGGGCTCGATCCCCAGTGTGGGGCTTGCAGGAAGCAGCCGATCAATGATTCTCTCTCATCACTGATGTTTCTTTTCTTTTCTTAATTTTTTAAAAAATTAATTTCAGAGAGGAAGGGAGAGGGATAGAGAGATAGAAACATCAATGATAAGTGAATCATCGATCGGCTGCCTCCTACACGCCCCACACTGGGGATCGAGCCCGCAACCCGGGCATGTGCCCTTGACTGGAATCGAACCTGGGACCCTTCAGTCTGCAGGCCGACGCTCTATCCACTGAGCCAAACCAGCTAGGGCATCACTGATGTTTCTATCTCCCTCTCCCTTGCTCTCTGAAATCAGTAAAATTAAATACGAAAGGAAGGAAGGAAGAAATAGTTACCTAACCCTATCTAGGAGAATAGCACATAAAACCTAAGCTCTGTGCAGATCCTAAAGCCACAAATCACCTTGATCTGGATCTATGGCGCCGTCTAGGTCGAGTATGAGAAGGAGAGCGAGAGCGTGTCCGGGATCTTGATTTGGAACGTGACCGAGATCTTGGTCGGGTCTTCTCCTTTTCCTTTTCTTTTTTGGAATTTTTCTCCGGAGTAGGCTCTTTAGGCTCTGGTACAGGTTCAGGCTTGGGAACTTTCAGGATATCACTATGGAAAAAAAACCCCCACAGATTTATTTCCCCCCTCTTCTACTCAGACTAAGTCATATTTTATTTTATATTTTTACTGATTTCAGAGAGGAAGGGAGAGGGGGAAAGAGAGATAGAAACATCAATGATGAGGATTATTGATCAGCTGCCTCCTATATGCTCCACACTGGGGATCGAGCCCACAACCTGGGCATGTGTCCTGACCAGGAATTGAACCATGACCTCCTAGTTCATAGGCTGATGCTCAACCACTGAGCTACGTCAGCCAGGCTTAAGTCATATTTTAAATGGAAGTTATTTATCTTTGTAAAAAGTTTTTAGCCCTAATACTTGACAATGGAGGCAAGAGCATACAATGGAGTCAAGACAGTCTCTTCAATAAATAGTGCTGGTCAGATACATCCAAAAACAATAAATAAATTGGTCAGATACATGCAAAAACAATGAAACTAGATCACCAACTTACACCATACACAAAAACAAACTCAAAATGGCTAAAGGACTTAAATGTAAGACGGGAAACCATAAAAATCTTAGAAGATTCCATAGGCAGCAAAATATCAGACATACGTTGTAGCAGTACCTTTACTGATACAGCTCCTAGGGCAATGGAGACTAAGGAGAAAATAAACAAATGGACTACATAAAAATAAAAAGCTTCTGCACAAAAAACCATCAATAAAACAACAGGAAAGCCCACTGCATGGGAGAACATATTTGCCAATGATATTTCAAATAAGGGTTTAATCTCCAAAATTGACAGAGAACTCATACAATTAACAAAAGAAAGATAAACGATCCAAACAAAAATGGGCAAAGGACCTAAGTAGACACTTTTCGAAAGAGGACATACAGAAGGCCAAGAGACATATGAAAACATGTCAAAGTCACTAATCATCCAAGAGATGCAAATCAAAACAACGAGGTACCATCTCACACCTGTCAGAATGGCTATCATCAACAAATCAACCAACAGCAAATGCTGGCGAGGATGCGGAGAAAAAGGAACCCTCGTGCCCTGCTGGTGGGAATGCAGGCTGGTGTAGCCACTGGGGAGAACAGTATGGAGTTCCCTCAAAAAGTTAAAAATGGAACTCCCATTTGACCCAGTAATCCCACTTCTAGGAATATATCCCAAGAAACCTGAAACACCAATCAAAAAGGATATACGCACCCCTATGTTCATAGTAGCACAATTTACCATAGCTAAGATTTAGAAACAGCCTAAGTGCCCATCAGCAGATGAGTGGATTAGAAAAACTGTGGTATGTTTATCTACACAATGGAATACTACACCGCTATAAAAAAGAAGGAACTTTTACCATTTGCAACAGCATGGATGGACCTGGAGAGCATTATGCTAAGCGAAATAAGCCAGCTGGAGAAAGTATCAAATGATCTCACTCATATGTGGAATATAATGATCAACATAAACTGAGAACAAAAATAGATCCAGAGACAAATGTGTGTGTGTGTGTGTGTGTGTGTGTGTGTGTGTGTGTGAGAGAGAGAGAGAGAGAGAGAGAGAGAGAGAGAGAGAGAGAGAGAGAGAGAGAGAGATCAACCAAAGGACTTGTATGCATGCATATCAGCATAACCACTGGACACAGACACTGGGGTGGTGGGGGCATGCCCTTGGGGATGGGAGTGGCAGGGGTGGGTGGGTGGTAGGGGGTCAATTGGGGAAAAAGGAGACATATGTAAAACTTTAAACAATAAAAAAGTTTTCAGCCCTACTCAGTTGGTTGGGCATCATCCTGTGCATCGAAAGGCTGCTGGGTTTGATTGTCATTCAGGACACATGTCCAGGTTGTAGGGTCAATCCCTCATAAGGGACATGCAGGAGGCAGCGGATTGATGTTTCTCTCTCTCCCCCTTCCTGTCTAAAAAATCAATAAAAAAAATTTTAAGAAATTTTCAAAATCTGTGAAGACTTCTCCCGAGCTCCAAAACATCAGTGAAATCTAGTGAGAGCAACTAATAATTCTAATTGCATACATTTTCTTAAAGTGCAAGGTTGCCCACAATATTAAGAAGGAAAAAAAAGCAAGTTATATATTAAAAAATATAAAATATTTTTTAAAAATACAACCAAAAGAAAGCAGTGGTCACCTGCCAGGCATTTTACTTATGCTCTCTTACACAATTTTGACTTTTTCTACAAGCTGAATAACTGAAAATTTTTTTTAAATAAATCAAGTAGTTTTGTTTCAAACTTAGGTATTGTGTTTGGGTTCACTTAGTAACAACCTAAAAGTGTGATATTTATAAACGAATTTTTATGTACTTGCCTAGTAGAAGTGGCCTCTTGTACTGAAGGTTCTTTTACTTTTGCTGATGGTTCTGGGAGCTCAGGAGTTTTTTCCTTCTTTTCTGGAGCAGGGGAAGGACTCCGGCTCTTGGTTCTGTGACGGGGAGATCGAGAATGACTGCGCTTTCTCTCTCTCCTGACAGGGGAAGATCGTCTTCTAGGGGAAGGAGATCTGGATTTGCGTCTAGGATGAAAGCAATTTTTTCAGATTTTTGAATAATGTGGACTGGGGGAGAGGGTCAAAGGCAGAAGTGAAGATTAATCTTTTTAATTAAATCATTACTGTTTATATCTGAGAAGTTCCCTATGGAAATAAGATATCCTATCACATTTACTTAATAGGGAAAGGGCCAAGAAAAAACCAGGAAGGCAAGCAAAACAGTAACATTCTCTGGAATACTGGTTGTAACAGAGAAAAGCATTGATCTGCGACTCTAGATATTGGTTCTTAATTTGTTCCAGAGATCCTCAAGAAGACCAGAGACCAAGTTTTCAGAAGGAAATGATGCTTAAAAGTACAGCTGACTCTTGAACAACGAACAAGGGTATTATGGACACCAACCCTCTAACTTCTGACTCCCTAAAAACCACTAATAGCCTACTGTTGACCAGAGCATTACCAGTAACAGTCAATTAACACATATTTTGTATAGTATATGTATTGTATACTCTACTCTTATCATAAAGCTATAGAAAAAATATTAAGAAAATCATAAGGGACCATAAAAATATCATACTGATATTGTACAGAGAAAATGTATTCCAGAAAAATGACCAATGCAGTTAAAGCAGTATGTTCTTTACAAGAGAAATATATTAAACTTGTATAAGATAGCCTTTCTGAAAGAGAAGCCCCCCTTTCTTTTCAAGTTTCCTTTAACTTGAAGAGTAGACCTGGTTCATCAATAAGTAGTTACCTC